CTCACCTAGAAAATGAAGGCACAACAATCTGCCTCCTAAGGGAGGACAAAATAAGGCATCTGGGCCCTTCTGATTAGCGGCAGGATCCTTGAGTCCTGAGGGATTTAGAATGTTAAAAAAAAAAAAAGAGTGGTCCCTACTCAGTCTGCTTTGAAGAAAGGGCTTAGTTAGCATCCTGCAACATGGAAAGGACAAGGATTTGGAGATCTGCTGCCTTGGCTGAGGTAGCTCGTGTAAGTAAGCCTCTCTGAGCCTTGGTTTCCTCCTCTATAAAATGGGGTGAAAATAATATCTCCTTTGCAGATGGTCACAAGGGTCTAATGTGAGATTGCATAGGCACGCTCTTCACAACCTGGTAAACTCTATGCAGATATTAAAAGGAGAAGAAGAAATCTTGCGAGGAGGCTACAATGACTGGAGAGGGCATCTTTCCGGGTGCCCGTAGCTCCAATGTTGGGAGTGAGACTTAAGCCCTCCAGGACTCTCAAATTTAAGATTCTCTGACAGTGACAAGGCTACGGGAGGAAGCACTTGCAGGAAATGTCTGTTCCCGGGATTTCTGCTTCTCAGTTTGCATCTCTGTGGTAGATCCGAGGAGCAGGGGCAATGCCTTCAGTTTTGGTTCTTAGCCCCACCGTCCTAGGGGAGCCTCTGAGCTTGGGGAGAGGGGAGGGCAATGTGTGGAGCTGGAGCCCTCTAGTGGTCAGTCTTAGCACTGCATCCAGCTGCCTCAGGTGGATTAGGTGACAGGAGGATGGTGAAGGGGCAAAGGCAGAATCTGTGCCCAGAAACCCCATAATCTCTTGCTATTGGTGGCCCCCTTTCCCAGCACACACATTCTCTCTGATGGATGGAGGGGAGCAGTGCAAGAAGGGGGAATGGAGCAGTAGAGAGCGAGGAAGCGTCAGCATAGCTCCATCCATCCTGACACAGCCTCTCTTTGGGGGACCAGCTTGGGCCCTCCTCACCCTGATGGACAACACACAATGACACCCTGCCAGTGCACACCTGGACTCAGGTTACTTCCTTCTACCACCTCTCCCTTAAAAAGAGAACAGATTGGGTGGTGTCTCACACAGATGGACCCTGCGTGTACAAACCTCAGGGCTGGTGACAGGGGCAAGGGGAAGATGACAAGCCTGGGGGACATGACCCCAGAGGAGGAGCGGGGACAGGATGAGTGGGAGGAGGTTCTAAATTATCCATTAGCACAGGCCGGTCAGCGGCCCATGCATAAATGTATAGAAAATAAGTGGGGGCAGAGGGAGAGAGAGGAGGCCCGGGCATAAAAAGGGCCCACCAGGGACCAATTCCAGGATCCCAGGGCCTAGCTCCCCAAACCGCTCAGGGTCCTGTGGACAGCTCGCCAGCTGTGATGGCTGCAGGTAAGTGCCCTAAAATCCCCTTAGGCTTGATGTGTACAGAAGGGTGATGTGGGGGCCCTGCAGATGGATAGGGCACTAACCTTGGCCTTTGGGGCTTCTGAATGTGAGCGTGGATATCTATGCCCACACATTTGGCTACGTTTTAGAAAGGAAAGGCACTTGGAGCAGAGAGAGGGCTGGCAGGAGACGAGGCCTCTGGGTCTCCGGGCCCCTTCCTCGCTGGCCCTCCGGTTGTCTCTCTAGGCCCTCGGACCTCCATGCTCCTGGCTTTCACCCTGCTCTGCCTGCCCTGGCCTCAGGAGGCGGGTGCCTTCCCAGCCATGCCTCTGTCCAGCCTGTTTGCCAACGCTGTGCTCCGCGCCCAGCACCTGCACCAGCTGGCTGCTGACACCTACAAAGAGTTTGTAAGCTCCTCAGGGATGGGTGCTAGTGGAGGGTGGCAGGAAGGGGTGAACCCACCCCCCTCTGCATAATGGGAGGAAACTAACAAGTTCAGGGGTATCTTATCCAAGTGAAGATGCTGTCAGGTGAGCATAAACTGAGCGAGGGGGGTTCTGCATAAAGCAGTGAGGAGGACAGTGCACCAGCTCAGATCTGGTGCGGGTGTTCCTTTGTCCAGGAGCGCACCTACATCCCGGAGGGACAGAGATACTCCATTCAGAACGCCCAGGCTGCCTTCTGTTTCTCGGAGACCATCCCGGCCCCCACAGGCAAGGACGAGGCCCAGCAGAGATCGGTGAGTGGTCATCGCCGCCCGGCCGAGGAGCAGGGACCTCCTTCTTCCTAAGAATGTTGCCCCATCTCTTCACACTGGATCCTGGGCAGCCTTCTCTCCAAGGCGGCGGCGGGTGATGGGATGGCGGCGGAGGATGGTGGGTTGGCCTGAGCCCGCAGCACCCACCGCCCCCACTTCGGTCCGCAGGACGTGGAGCTGCTCCGCTTCTCGCTGCTGCTCATCCAGTCTTGGCTCGGGCCTGTGCAGTTCCTCAGCAGGGTCTTCACCAACAGCCTGGTGTTTGGCACCTCGGACCGCGTCTATGAGAAGCTGAAGGACCTAGAGGAAGGCATCCAGGCCCTGATGCGGGTGGGGATGGCCGTCGTGGGTCCCCTATCTGGCCCCAGGCCTGCCCTCTCCTGCCTTAGCCGAGGGGTGGGGGGCTAAGGTGGGCTGGGGAGAGAGGCGCCCTGCTCTGTCTGTAGCGTCCAGCCTGGACCCAGGAGAAATCTTTTTCCCATTTCCCCTTTTGAATGCTTCCTCCTTGCTCTTTTCCAAGCCTGGAGGGGAGGGTGGGAAGTGGAGGGGAAGGGAAGGAGCGACTCCCAAGGACTCGGCCTCTCTGTCTCTCCCTGTCTTTTGCAGGAGCTGGAAGATGGCAGCCCCCGGGCTGGGCAGATCCTCAGGCAAACCTACGACAAGTTTGACACAAACTTGCGCAGTGATGACGCGCTGCTCAAAAACTACGGGCTGCTCTCCTGCTTCAAGAAGGACCTGCACAAGGCTGAGACCTACCTGCGGGTCATGAAGTGTCGCCGCTTTGTGGAGAGCAGCTGTGCCTTCTAGTTGCTGGGCAATCTGTTACCCCTCCCCAGCACCTCCCCTGACCCTGGAAAGTGCCACTCCAGTGCCCACCACCCTTTCCTAATAAAATGAGGTTGCATCATATTGTCTGAGTCGGTGTCATTCTATGACGGGGAGGAGGGGGAAGACAACCTGTAGGGATCCTGTGGGGTCTGTGGGAACCCAGACACTGAATGATAGTTGACCCAGTTCTTCCTGAGCTCCAAAGAAGCGGACACGTTCAGTCCCCCCTGTTACACACCCAGTCCACTCCCCAGGCCTGAAGTCCTGGGCTGCTGGGCAGTCATAGGTCAGCACCACTCCACCCCTACCCCATGACGTACTTAGAGGCTCCCCAACCTGCACCACCATCCCAACCTAGCCCCCAAGAGTGGGAAGAAAGGAAAGCAAGACAGGCTATTAAATACAGAAGCAAAACGCCCCAATGTATGAGGAAACAAGAGAAATCATAGAATTACTTTTGTGTAGAAATTTTAATGTGAATACACATTAGGCCAAATTGCCCTCGGGCAATGGGAACGATGCATTCTGGTTTTGTTTGTCTCAAACAGAACCAGAGTGTTTGGGACCTGAACTGGGTCAAGGGATGTGGAAGACAGATTGTAAATCAGAGCTTGCAAATTCAGTACCAATAGGTGTCAGGCAGATAAATACACAATAATGAGAGCTGCCTGGGAAGGGAGACATGGCAGCTGGCGCTCTGCTGCCTTGTGAGGATCCAACACAGAGTTGGGGCGGGGGGACCAGAGCAACCTAAAGATCTCAGGCTCTAGCTAAGGATGGGGCCCATCCCGCCTCCTCACTCAAGTCTGCATTCAAGTCCTGCATTCAGGATTGCAGGAGCAAGGCTGCCAGACCTTCTGATTACTCGAGACAGACAGGACATCCAGACTTTCATATGAAATCTAATTTTTAAACATTGGTAACTAATTGATATTGAGTTTTAAGGGCAAAAATTAACCCAGACACACTCGGTCTTCAAGCTGTTAGGGAGCAATTTGTTCTAAGAGGAGTGGATTGGGATAACTTGGTATCAGGGAGCGAATCAGAGAGACTTGGACTTGAAACCATGCCCCTGAATAAATTACTTAACCTCCCTGAGACCCAGTTTCTGCACCTACAAAATTTAAATAATACTATATTGCCTTGTAAGGCCTATGTGAGGGTTAAATGAAATGGTGTTTCTGAAGTGATTGATACATTACAGCACTCAAGAAGTTGCAGCCGTTTTTACACTGAATTGTGGGGTTTTCCATGTTTTCCAATGGAATGTTTAACTACTTGTTACTGAATTATGTTCTGTTTTCCTAATGGCATCTCAGATGGCATCTCTTTTTTTATTTCCAAATGAACTTAAAAAGGTGGCTTTTTTTTTGCTGAAGTATAGTTGATTTAAAATGTTGTGTCAGTTTCTGGTGTTCAGTATAGTGATTCAGTTATACATAAATATATTCTTTTTCATTATAGGTTATTACAAGCTATTAAATATAGTTCCCTGTGCTGTACAGTAGGAACTTGCTGTTTATCTATTTAATATATAGTAGTTTGTATCTGCTAATCCCAAACTCCTAATTTACTGCTCCCCTTCCCTCTTTGGTAACCGTAAGTTTGTTTTCTATGTCTGTGAGTCTGTTTCTGTTTGATAAATAAGTTCATTTGTGTCATTTTTTAATATTCCACATATAAATGATATCATGTGGTATTTTTCTTTCTCTTTGTGGCTTACTTAGTATGATGATCTCCAGATCCATCCACGTTGCTGCAAATGGTATTATTTTATTCTTTTTTATGGCTCGGTAGTAATCCATTGTGTATATATACAACCACAAGTTCTTTATCCAATCATCTGTTGATGGACATTTAGGTTGCTTCCATCTCTCAGCTATTATAAATAGTCCTGCTATGAATATTGGGCGGCATGTGTCTTTTAAAATGAGAAATTTCTCCAGATATATGAAGGACAGCTTTAGAATTAAGTTTTTAGTCACTCAAGCACCTTGGCTAAGTAACTAGGGACCCATAACTCAATACCTAGATACTCAAAGTAACTATTAGTCAAGCATGATTTTACAAAGTCAATCATTCTTTTACAATGCAAATATTCAACCTAATAAATCATCCTGAAATCCCCAAATTTTACATGCTATAATGAAGTGGCCTCAAAATTGGACTCACCTGTGTTCATTTGGGATTGTTTACATGTAGTAATGTAAATGTAAACGGGGGGAGTGGTTGAAAGTTGGAGCAATCAGAACCCTAGAGCTCCATTTCTTAGCTCAGAAACCACTCCTCTACCTTAGAATATTCTTTAATTGTCTGACTTTAAATTCATGGAGTTTTGAAGTTAGAAGGGCCTCCTAGATCATCCTAATACCTTCTAATTTAGGAATCTTACTATATAGCATTCCTCACAGGTGGTACTCACTTGTATAGCACCAGTGTCAAGGGAACCACTGTTTCACAAGATAACTTATTGCATTAAGCCACTCTGTTTTCAGGTAAGTATTTCTTATATCAAGCTGAAATCTGTATTTCTGTAACATCCCTCATTTGAACTTAGAATTACTTGCAAATCTCATGGTCTTTAGAAATTGATGTATTGAACACAAATATAATTATCTCTTGCACTGAATAAGTGTTTTAAAAGGAAAATGGGCCTTCTTAAGAAGTGTATGCTAAATCAGTGTGGCAGGAGAGGGGTGCCTACAGAGAGGGGAGTTACAGCCACTAGAGGGTTTTTAAGTAGGGTTGTCATGACAGCAGTAGACTGCAGGGGGAGCCACACTCCAGAGAGCGTCCTCTCAACTCCTTAACAGCTGTTGCTGAATCAAGGCAACCAAGGCTGGCTGAGAATTACCAAGATGCTAGTTGATTTTGCAAACTTTCTGAGTTTAAACGATCTTAAAGACCATCTACCCTGAACTCTGATTTGTCAACTGTTATTCTGCCTTTCAGCTCTTCAGTTAGGCAGTGAATACCTTCACTGCAAATTAGAAACGCCTGGGGTATTTTCTAAACAATTCTGACAGTAGCCTCCACTCCCTGAGATTTTGACTTTAACTGATCTGGGATGGGATCTGGACAAGAGAACTTTTAAAACTCCCTGGGTGAGATGGCTGAGATGCACTGAGTCAGGACCACAGAAATATGATGCACGTGTCCACAGGTACTGTGCTGGTAAAAGGAGTGGGGGGTGGGGAGCTGGGGGAGGACATAGGAGACCTGGGCCAATTGCTGGGCTCTCTGCTTCTAATTCTAACCAGTCATTTTACAAAGTTCTAAGCCAGTAGCAAAAAGACAAATACTGGGTGATTCCTCAAACATGAGGTTCTTATAGTAGTCAAATTCACAGAGACAGAAGGTAGACTGCTGGTTACCAGGGTCTAGGGGGAGGGCCCATCGGGAGTTGTTTAACGGGTAGAGTTTCAGTTTTGCGAAGTGAAAACGAGTTCCGGAGATTGGCTACGCAACAATGTGAATGTAGTTGATATTATTGAACTGTACTCTTAAAATGGTAAATTTTATGTTATGTATATTTTGCCACAATTTAGATTTTTTAATCGAGGTATAATTAGCATAAAACATTATATTAGTTTCAGGTGTACAACATAATGATTTGATATTTGCTTATATTGGGAAATGATCACCACAATAAGTCTAATTAATATCTGTCACCATACATAGCTACAAAAAGTGTTTTCTTGTGATGAGAACTTTTAAGATGTACTCTCAGCAACTTTCAAATGTGCAATACAGTATTAGCTATAGGCACCACGGTGTACATTACATCCAAATGCATAATTTAGAAATTTTTGAAAATGTTTTCTAATGAAAAATCTTCCCCTGGGTAAGATTTGTGAGATTTGAACAAGGAAGAGTTCAGTAGGCAGAGCTCAAGTAATCCTAGACCCCTTGGAATAATGCTTTTCTGACTCCGTGTAATTTTTAAAATTTACTGGAACCATTCTGAATTTCTTCCATCAGCTTTGCTGAGACACATGGTGAGTTGTGTCCTTTTTATATGCAGCTCAGAGCAGAACTGAACCTTTTCCCTTTCTTTACAAGTCCTCCTCAGAATTACAGGACCTGGGCTCCTGGGATAAGCAAACATGATACTGCTTTGTGCTTCTTTAATTCAGAAGGCCCCAGCAAGGCTGAGAAACACTTTGAGAGATACCAGTGTTAGGGTGACCAACTTGTCCCTGTTTACATGAGACTTTCCCAATTTTAGCACCGAAATGTTCCAATGTCCCAGTGTCCCAGGATCACCCTCTGCTCGATGCAAACTGGGACAATTTGTATCCTCCTAGTAGTCCTAAATCTTAGAGAACAAAAAAAGGTGGGGGGGAGGAAAGAAGAGAAAACAGAATAGAAAAGGAGGAAGAGAGAACACAATGGAAAAAGAGAAAGGAAGTATTGATGGTATATATCACTTTTTTGTATATATATTTTTATTGAAATATAGTCAGTTTACAATGTTGTGTCAGTTTCTGATGTACAGCATAATGCTTCAGTCATACATGAACATACAGATATTCATTTTCATATTCTTTTTCACCATAAGTTACTGTCATATATTGAATATATTTCCCTGTGCTATACAGTATGAACTTGTTGTTTATCTATTTTGTATATATTAGTTAGTATCTGCAAATCTCAAACTCCCAATTTATCCCTTCCCACCCCCTTCCCCCTGGTAACCATAAGTTTATTTTCTATGTCTGTAAGTCTGCTTATGTTTTGTAAATAAGTTTGTCTTTTTTTTTTAATTCCACATATAAGTGATATCATATGGTATTTTTCTTTTTCTTTCTGGCTTACTTCACTTAGAATGACAATCTCCAAGTCCATCCATGTTACTGCAAATGGCATTATTTTTTTGGCTCAGTAATATTCCATTGTATAAATATACACAACTTCTTTGTCCAGTCATCTGTCAATGGACATTTAAGTTGTTTCCATGTCTTGGCTGTTGTAAATAGTGCTGCTATGAACATTGGGGTGCAGGTATCTTTTTGAATTGATTCCCTCTGGATATAGGCCCAGGAGTGGGCTTGCTGGATCATATAGTAAGTCTATTTTTAGTCTTTTGAGGAATCTCCATACTGTTTTCCATAATGGCTGCACCAAACTACATTCCCACCAACAGTGTAGGAGGGTTCCCTTTTCTCTATACCCTCTTGAGCATTTATTTTCTGTGACTTCTGAAGATGGCCGTTCTGACTGGTGTGAGGTGATACCTCGTGGTAGTTTTGATTTGCATTTCTCTGATAATTAGTGATAGTGAGCATTTTTTCATGTGCCTATTGGCCATTTGTATGTCTTAACTAGAGAATTGCTTGTTTAGATCTTCTGCCTATTTTTGGATTGGGTTGTTTGTTTTTTTCTTATTAAGCTGTATGAGCTGTTCATATATTCTGGAAATTAAGCCCTTGTCAGTCTCATCTTTTGCAAACATTTTCTCCCATTCCATAGGTCATCTTTTTGTTTTGCTTACGGTTTCCTTTGCTATACAAAAGCTTATAAGTTTAATTAGGTCTCATTTGTTTATTTTTGCTTTTATTTCTGTTGCCTGAGTAGACTGCCCTAGGAGAACATTGCTGAGATTTCTGTCAGGTAATGTTTTGCCTATGTTTTCGTCTAAGGTTTATAGTATCTTGTCTTTAGGTCTTTAAGCCATTTTGAGTTTATTTTTGTGTATGGTGTGAGTGAGTGTTCTAACCTCACTGATTTACATGCAACTGTCCAGTTTTCCCAACAGCTGGTGTGTATGACTTCTGATGGCCCTCAATGGCTGCCACAGATTTTTTGACTCTTGCTTTCAGTTTATTATAATTGTGGGAATGATTACCGCCTGCATGTGATAAAAGCTAATACTTGTGAACACATGTATATGACACCATGCTGGTGTTTTTTAAAATTTTTTAATTGAAGTATGCTAGTGTTTTGACAAGTACTACGTCATTTCTTTCCAAATGGAATCCTATAATAGGTTATCACTACTATTATCCCTATAGTAAGAAGCCCCACTGAAGATTTGTATTTTCTCAGGCCTAAAAGAAAGTCACCTTGACTTTCCTAAGAGGATAAGCTTTTGGAGTATTAAAGATAGTTTTCATCTCCTGGA